ACTTTTACCTCTAAATGAATGCCTACTGCCTGGGAGGGCTAAAAGCCTTTGCTTTATCATAATTCCTTTGAGAATATAAAGTGGAAGCAGTATTTATAGCAATATCAATAGCACTTAGACTTATATACTGGTTCATAATGCTTTTACAGTCCTCTCTAAGTGGTTTACAGAGTCAGCATATATTGCCCCCAACAATCTGGGTCCACATTTTACCCACCTCGGAAGGATGAAAGGCTAAGTCAACTGGGAGACTGGTGAGATTCGAACTGCCAAATTGCAGGCAGCCGGCAGTAAGCAGAAGTAGCCTGCAGTACTGCATTCTAACCACTGCGCCACCACAGCTCTTATAACTATATAAATACTATAAATATAAATTTAATAAATACATTTCTTGATCAATGAGGCTTAATCAAGCTGAAGCTGATGAACGTGATGCTCCTATTACAAAATATTTCTTATGTCATTGATGGTGAAGATCCCTCCAAACAAGCCAGGAGTATGTTTGTTTTCCAACTACAGGTAGTCCTCATTTAGCAACATTCATCAGTCATTAAGCGAAGCAGCCACTAAGCGAAATCACAACTGTGCGTATGAGTTTATTTCAGCTTTCTTTGCTTTACAGACCTGCGAAGGTCGTAAACATGACTATTGGTCATAGCGTCACTTATTCATCTCTGTTGTAACTGCAAATGTTGCTAAACAAGGACTATATGCACTTTATTAGAATATATTGTACACCACACACCCACACAAATCTGTTCACATTCATACAAAGTATCTATGATAAAGGAAGAAAGTGTGAGTTATCTTTCATTGGCCAAATGCATACAAGAAATTGGGAGATTTCAAAACGCTGTTTATGGGAGTATCTCTGCTTTTCCAATATCCTATTTCTATCTTTTATCCTTATGAAGTATCTGCTCATGATTTCTGTGGTTCTCCCAACAAGTTTTTGGCACTGAGTTTGTGGATCTACTAAATCTAACAGTTTTACAATGACATTAATGTAGTGTCCTTACATTAAAACAGCAGCTTAGCTTTTAGGCAAAGATCATTTTGCCACAAAACTGATAACAATACCTACACAAATAGTGTAAGTAATAAAACTACATAGGCAACAGCGGTGATGACCCTAAAAGGGAAGTGTGAACTTGGTAGCTGCTCCAGTTGCTAACATTTATCTATTTAAACTGAATTTAAATCCTGCTTGTCTAATTAAAACCCCTGAATGTAGAAAGCCATATTTACCACAGAGGAAGATGACTCTGAATTTAAAACATCCCATAAAAGGAAGAGACATAGATATCTAGATATCTAGCACATTGGATACTAAAAATCCTATGTAAAGCCCACTTTGGTAAAAAGCAATCATGGACTTCTTCCCTTGCAGTATATATTTGTGAATAAAACACTTGTGTGCATGAGTATATGTTTATATGTGTATGTACAAGCATGCATAGATACCTGGCAGAAGATATACCCCACCCTAAAAAAGGCCCACCCAAGAAAAATGATCAGAATCAACTGATCCTCACCTATCTCTGCAGCCATTCTCTTTGACATTCAAATCACGATTATCCATAGAAACATGGAAGTACACCTACTTATACACACAATTTCCCACCTTCTTTTCAGTAGAAACAGCAAAAAAAAAAAAATGGTTAAGAAAGGGATGGAGATGGAGTGAGGGAAGGGATAGGAGAGGGAAAGGGGAGAATCATTACAAGTCAGGTGGCATACAACTCTGTTTAATAGGAAGGAAGAGAGGAAGGGAGGGAGAGAGAGGGAGGGAGGGAAGGACTGAGGGGGAGAGAGAGAGAGAGAGAGGGAGGGAGGGAGGGAGGAAGTATAGGAGACATTGGGTGCAGATGAGGAGATAAGAGGAGATAACTAGGCATGAAAGGAAACTATAAAAACAGAATTAAAATTCATAGGCAAGCAACTAACTGGTTTTACAGCAACTGTTGATTTTATTTGTAAGTCTTGCTCATTCCTTTGCTTTCAGTAGCTATTTTTATTCTTGAGACACCCACTCCTTCCCCATTTGCGGGGAATTATGTAGACAAAAATACTTCTCTAGGATCCTCCTGTGGTTGTAAAAATATCCGTTAACTAGGAATTCAGCTTTAATGGTTTGAAGCATGGATCACTAAACAGATGTTGGTGTTGGGGATCATCAAGACTAGGATCTCTGAGGAAACTCCATAGCAGACCCCTATCACATTTTTGTGATGTTTAAGAGTGGCTTGACAGAAACAGAGATATGTGTATTACAATAGAAATGGTGTAAAACTCAATTTCTTTGATGGTTGCATCAGAGTTGTGTTTGGGGGCCTGGGATGGACGTGGCAAAGGTGGGTGTGGCCAGCTCAACATCACTTGTGTTGGGGGCACCTGTGGTGGCCCGAGTGCTCTGCCGGTGAAAATGAGCTCCCGAGTTCCGTTTTCAGCTGCAACGGCCTCCTGCACCCTCTGCCAGCTAAAATGGTGCTTGGGAGGGTCCTGAGCTCCGTTTTCGCTGGCAGAGGCACTGCGGACCAGTCCTTCACTGTTTCCAGGGTGGCCACACGGGCCAGATCTAAGCACCCCACGGGCCAGATCTGGCCCCCAGGCCTTGAATTTGCGGATGTTTCATAACCCAACTAGGTAACATCATCAGTGCTAGTGAGTATGGGGTTTGCTTCCTGTTTATATACAGTAGCTTGCCCTGCAAGAGTTGGTGGGGGTGAGATTTTCTTCTTTGTGGTTTCTTGATTAGGATATCGTCTTCCGCTTGGTTGTTTATCTGATGTTAATCCCTGTTTATTTAGGGGCCTCTTATTTGGGTGTCTATTGATGAAGAGAGACATAGTCACATAGAATAGACACATAGAGACAAAGCATTTACACACCATTCAAATGAGACAAAGATAATAAAAAGCTAAGGAGGAAACAAAACCTCCAATGATCTTCTCCTGCAACCAACACCCAATATCTACAAGCAGTCTGCAAACAAACAAAGTTAGAGAACACCAAGGACTCCACATTTATTAATATTTTAAAAAGAGATGGTGATAGAGAAAAGGAAGGGAGGGAGGAATTTGTTCTGGTTTTATTACTGTAAAATTACTAGTTTTGTACATCAGTTTCTTTTAGCCACATATCAATTTTCAAGAGTGCAAGACACTTATTAAGGTCAGTAGGCAGACACAAAGTTGCTTTCACCTTGAAAATAGAAATCTGCCAGAATCTAAATTGCAAGAAAGCTAAAGAAGAACCTATTTGTCCTAATGGAACTGTTCCTAATACTAATGTTCTAGTACTGCTCCCTTCTGAATCTACAAATAAAGAAGTTAGAATTTCCTCTAGTGCTATACATATCTGGTTTGAGAAGTCTAGTTGTTACTCTCTAGTTTTTAACAACATAAACCTCCTTTGCCCCAAGAAACCAAATGTCAAGAGAAATAACTGCAAATAAAAGTTTTGTCATGGTTTTACTTTTGAGAATTATAAAAATTTGATTTGCAGATCAGCTACTGTTGGCCGTAAAAAATAAATTTCAGACTGAATTCTTCATTTGCTTCCTTTTCCTGCTGTCAACAGGCTTAAGTAGGGATTTGGAATCATATTACAAAAGGCCAAATAGACTGGAAAAGGAGAGAATTAGAGTAGGCTCAAAAATAATAGAATTAGTACATTTTGATGTATATTAAATGTACATTTATGTACATTTGATGTACATTAACATTTGATGTACATTAACAATAATGTACATTAGTACATTGTTAATTTGTATGTGAATTAAAAATCAGGCTGGGAGATCAGATACAATGATGAGAGCAGCTGAGATAACTTATCAGATGGTACTGAATAGAGAAGAATTACCTTTTAGATTGGCAGATGTGGAGTAAATAAAAATTTATCATGGAGTTCTGTCCAAAACGAAAAAAACTTGTGATGAAAAAGGAATACAGAGGTAATAATTTGGGTGGAAAGAGCATGTATAAACTGATTATTACTTTGGGAAATGTAGAATCAAAAAACCACAATGTAAAATGAAATTCCCTGACATTCCATGATTTTTAAAATTTAATGTAAAATTAGGAGAACCATGTTGCTAACAAAAATAGATTCAGATCTCCTGGACTAGGGAAAATATAGTTGTCCCTAAAAAATATGTGATGAGAGAAGGATACATCCTTTTTAATTATCTGTGTAATTCGAAGGAAGAGGTGAAAGTAAGTTTTGGTACAACAGAACATCCACTGGTATTCTTTATTATAAGAAAGAGTGTCATTGGTCTTCATAGACATCTCTGGGTCTTTATTAGGAGACAGACCAGAGATGGTATTCAGCAGGTTCTGACCAGTTCTGGAGAACCAGTAGTGGAAATTTTGAGTAGTTTCGAGAACCTGTAAATACAACCTCTGACTGGCCCCACCCCATTTATTCTCTGCCTCCCGAGTCCCAGCTGATCGGGGGGAAATGGGACTTTTGCAGTAATCTTCCCCTGGAGTGAGGTGGGAATGGAGATTTTACAGTATCCTTCCCCAGCCACGCCCACCAAGCCATGCCACGCCACGCCACGCCCACAGAACCGGTAGTAAAAAAATTTGAATCCCACCACTGAGACAAACAGCCAGATTTGACAGAGAGCACAGCAAATAATTCCCTTTCTAGGAAGCAAGAGGTACAGTGGAGGGGAAAAAAACCTACTATGGAGTGGAAATCATTTTAGAAGAAAAGCCAAGGAAAAACAGAACAAAGATGAGGGAGGCAGAGCTTCTAAGAAATGGCATAGAGTAGTATAGACAGAGTATCCATGGACCTAAAAACTAATAGTTGAAGAAACTGAAGAGACTGTGAGGGATGAAATTTGTAGGGAAACAAGTGGGTGGCAAGGGAACCATGATGAAGTTCAGGAAAAGGGAAATGCCATAGATAGCTCTTCACTTTGATCATTCCCCTCCCCCCCCACTCCGCAAGGGACGATTTCAAACAATCACAAGAGTACAATTAAACAAATCTTTAAATAATTTATTTTGGCTGCTGGATTTCCCTTCATTGTCTTCCCATTCTGTATTGACAAGAAGGATTTTTTTTTTAAAAAAAGGACAATAAAATAAAGAGCAAATTATTATATTGGCAATGTGCAAATTTCCACCATTACATTTTTTGAAATAACATAAATATTTAAATACGCCTTCACATTTTACAAAGCTCACAAAATCACACACAGAAATTTGAACAGCGAAGGACTGTGACACTAGCCGTGTTTCTCATAATGGAGATTACATACACATGCAAAATGCAAGCAGTTGGCGTACATGCTTTCCTCCCTCCCTCCCGCCCCCCATAATTTTCAGAGAAAGAAAATAAGAGAGGCATGAAGGTCTTGGGAAAAATGGAAGATTTTTGGGTGATTACTCAGAACAATATGCAGTTATGGCAGATAATGCCCCGAGATTGCTAATTTACACTGTGGAAATAAGTAGGATTTCACAGGAGTGGCCACCTTACAAACAACACAGAGCCTCCCTCCCCTGCGCCCCTCACTATTAGATATATCAACAGTCAGATACAACTGAAGACTGTAGAGATGTGTGAGTGTGGGAAAACAAAAACAAAAAACAATCCTGTCTACTTTGGGAACTTCATAATTCAGAAGTTAAGACTTAACTGTAAGGACACAGAGACCCACAGAAGATCCTCCTTATTTCTTAGTAAATTCCAAAAAGATTGTAACAGTTCAGTAAACTTGATTAACTAGTAGAGGCTAGACCAGTGGTGGGTTGCCCCCGGTTCGCAAGAACCGGTATTAAAACTGGCGGGAGGCTCCGCCCACTGACCCGGATATCATCAAAGCAGATCTGCGTAAACGCAGAAGAGCGCATGCGGGCGCGAGCAAAGCGAATGTGCACACATGGGCATGATGCGAACCGGTAGTAAAGGTAAGTAGAACACACCCCTGGGCCAGACATGAAGAGAAAGCAGATTTGCTATATCATCTAGAATACAGGAAGACTGTGTGGTAAAAAAAGACTGTTGGTTTTTTTTCTCAATAAACATAAAGTTGGTTCTTTCTAATCTGTCAGTATGCTTCCATGTCAATAAATATGCATGAATATTTAGGAACCTTTATTTTTCTCATGATCTCCCTCCCCCACTTTCCCTTCTCAAATGTTATACTTAAAAATACCTATGCTCTTTCACATTCTAAATTACAAGAGGTTTAGCAACTACACCCTCATTCAAACCACACAGAATAGTCAATGGAAAAACATCAGTCAGCGTTCCAAGGCCAAATTTTATGGGTTTATAGCTGCTCTACGCGCATAAAACTTTCATTTGGAAACACTGCCAAAAAGAAAAAAAAACCTACACAAAAGAAATGTAGCAGCAGCCAACAACTTTAAAAAAGGACAAGCAAGCAAAAATGGTAAAAAGTTCTCCCACAACTTCCTAATATTTTGTTCAATCTTAGCTCTACCGTATCAGCATTTTCAGAGCAATCACACACACAATTTTGATGACTGTTGTAGAAACTGTTCATTTCAAATTTTTGGCTGGTTTCATTATACACAGAATGCTCACAATGCAGACAGAATGCAAGAGACATATTAGCAGAAAAGCATGCAAAGAGCAGCATTACCTATTTTTCTCATACAACTACATATTCAATACCAAACATAATCCAAAATATTTTGGAGAAAAGGGGTTTGTAGTCAAGTATAAAATGTCTTGCCATTCACCATCCGTGCTGGAAGCAACCTCCTTTACTATTCCAGGATTAAACGTTCTGGACCTGCATAGTTTTGCATTTACATATACATACATATAATACATGTGTGTATCTACATATGCACAAAAGAAATCAGCTTATTGTTTTCCCTCCAAAGTCACCTTTTTCACCTTTTCACTGAAGAAGATCAGGTGGCTAGCAAGACAATTAAGTGTTTTGAACTTAGCACCATTCCTTTTTCTTTTTTTCTTTTGCAAGGCAAAAAGAAAAAAAAGGCATTTGCTATCCATATATTTGTTTGAACTGATAGCACTCGTTGCAATAGCCATTGCACTTGTTATTACCATAGTGATCACAGGCAGGGGCTCGGCAACGCTGTTTGGGAAGTTCATCGGCTGGAGGGTCAACCTGAGGTGTTCCGGACTGTCTCCGCTGGCTGACACGCAAGCACTCTTGACACACTTCTGCACTCCGGGAAGCTAAATTATTTCTACACGAAACTTTGGAACATTTGCGTTTTTGAGAGCGTGTAGTTTTCTGGTGTAAATCTTGATGTTGTCCCGTTTGCTGTGAACATTAAAAGCATCTTTTAAATGGAAAGCAGTTAAAGGACTCTCATTCAATAAACCCTGCATTTACATTAGACTTCCACTAACTACCCTGAATATAAGAGTACTTAAAAAAATTTATGTGGAAGCTGAATATTTTTTAATCATTCATTTTTTAAAAAAAAGAAAGAAATACACTTGATTTCCTTGAAAACGCTTAACGACTATAACATGGAGAATGACTGAATAACTGCCTGCACGTGAAACAGATTAACTCGGCATATGGCTAATGCAAAACACGAATTTCCTAGTTGTGGTAAACACCAGCTTCCCTCTCCTCCCATTGCAAACAACTACTTCCTTACCCATGTTATTATGATCTAATCCCCATCAATCTACTGACTACTGCAATGTTGTAATATCAAAATGCCCCATTATGGAAAGAAACCTCTATCAAGCAATATTTTTTGCTAATAAACAAAAGCAGAAAGCTTTCTTCCTTCTTTGCAAGAAGTGGGCAGACATTTATCATATTATACCATCTCCCAGAATCCTCTACAATGAACACATAAATTCAGTAGAAGGCAATATTTTGCTGATTCTTTCATGGAATCATATAGACTGTTTGGGAAGATAGGTATAAGATTACATTGGGAAGAAAGAGTTGCATCTGCGTGCTGACCTCTGATTGTCTCACTGTTTTGTCTTCAGTTCTTCTGGCTTCATGGAGCCGCTTGCTCTGTGCTTCAATAAAACATTTCTGGCAATATCCCTCAAGCATGGTGCTCCCTATTGTGCCACATTCTCGGCCCGGGCAGGAAACGGTATTCTGATAGACAGCAGCTGAGATTCCAGGATACTCCAAAACAGGAGAAGTCACAGGAGATCTTCGCTGATGAAGCAGGGGAGCCTCTGTAATAAAAGGAGAACAGGAGAAAAACAATCACTCTAATGTAAACTCTTGAGGAGAGAATTATAAATGGGCCAAGTTATCTGTTTTACTTCCCTCATTCTACAACTCTGGTATGTATTCAGAAGAAAAGCTGAGGCATATAATTTAGGAAGGCTATTTTTAAAAACTCCCTGGGCCTTTTTGGTAACTGTTTAAGAAGTTGGTGACATTTTTTTTTCTGGCAATGAGATACACGAGGAAAAACAGGTATCAACTTTCTACTTTTACTATACTGTAAAATATTCTATTATTTATAACTACTAAACTTACAGTTGCTATGAATTTCAATCCCAGATGATTTTCCAAATCAGAAAAGAATGTGAAAATCTAAAGTTCCCCAGTAACAAAAATAAACAGATGTAGTTAAGGTTCTTCTGTGTATCTCAGCAAAATATGAAAACAGCCCTCCAATTATCATTATGGCACATGACTAATGCAAGCCGAGCAAATTCTACTGTGGCTGCATGTGCACAATACAACACTTCAAAGGTTTCAGAGCTACGTGCTACACTTGATCCTAGTCCAACGGCTATTTTGTTATACACCATTTGCATTTATCGGGTGTTTTCTCTTGCAAATTCAAAATTTAGTCCCTCCCAACTCATCAAGGAAGAGGAAGATAGAATCAAATGATATTCTCTTACTTGCCTCTATTTTCTTGATACTCAAAATAACACAGGGTACAAAAGCCTTCATTCTGGAGAGTCCCAAAAAAATTACAGCCAGGCTTCCTGCATTTACTGTTTCTCGTCCTTGGCTCTGTTCTTTGGGGCTGAACATATGGCGGCGCTTCCGCCTTATTGCTGTTGGTTGCCGTATGACAGGAATGCTGCAAAAAGCTTTGTGGTATAGGAATAGGATCAGAACTGGACCTCTGATGGGTTGAAGGCATAGTGCCGGAGCCGGCGTTTGAGGACTGGTCTCTAGTCCGTTTGAAGCAAGTGCTACACATCCCATTGAAGGTTCTGTTGGTGTCCTTAAGGCAGGATGTGCAAGTCACACAATTTGAATGCTGTGGGTCGCTTGGAATATTGCAAGGGTTGACCTCTATACAGTTGTAGCAACGTTCACAAAGCCCGTTATATTGCACATTCAGTGTAAAAGGGCAGCCTGGGGTCCTGCATTTCATAGCAGTTGTTTCACTGTATAGAAAAAGACTTGGAGCCGTGGGAGGCGCCGAACGAGGTTCTGTGCTGGAATTTTCAGAAGTCCAAGCCGGAAGATGGTGGCGTTCATCCTTTGGGTAACTGGACCTATTTACCCGGGGCTTCTCTGAACCTGACCAGAAGTGCTGCCTCTTTACCAAATTTGCCTTTTGTCTCTGTTCGGAGCACTCGTGGCAGAATGGCTGTGTATTCACAGACATGTAGAAAGGGCAGTTGGGAGTTTCACATTTTGCCTCCATAAGCGATAGCTGGGATAACTGCAACTCCAGCCCGTTCCTTGCACTCGTTTCCTTCCCAATAAATTCACTGTTTTCTTTCCACCTCTTGTACTCATGTTGCACCAGCTGAAAGTAATCTTCCACCAGATTAATCTCTTTGGGCAAGTTACCTTCATCCAACCTTGAAAAAAGCAAAGGGAGAAGGAATTAATATCACTGGAGGGAGAAAAGGCAATGATCTTACACAAGCTGGGAGGAAAGTTGGGAGAACTGTGATTTATATAATCAAGTATAGCATTAAAACTGAAAAGCTACACTAATAATATGTCAGAAGGAAGTGGAATTTTTTTAAAAAAGATGAAATTACGGGGAAGAGTTTCATGCATACTTGCAGAAAGAGTTGATCATGACATTTAATGCCTCTTTTAGCACATTAAGAACATTCCTTCCTGATTATGTCATGGACCAAGTTGTAAGGTCCAGGTGGCTTATGGGCACCACTTCTCATTCCAATTAGATTTCTTCCCTATTAAACAATGTGGCTTCTCATCACAACCTAGTTTTTTTCTGAAAATAATTCTAAATATTACAACAAAAGAGAGTAGTTGGAAGACTAGCTTAGCTTGAATACTAATTATGCCCCCCTTTTCTGGTTCAAGATACCTTTGTTATGCTTTATTTATTTCCACAGAAACATTCAGCCTTGATTTCTGCAATGCTTTATGCAATATAATTGTAATGATATGTGGGGATGACCTTGGGAGATAGGGCAGAGACACAGCCAAGGAAATGATCAGATAAAAGGCAGCTGAGCCCGCATCAGAACACTTTTTCTGCCTTGTCTACAAGGCCAATAATATACTATTCAGGAAATTTAACTTAACACAGTTGCAGGAACAGGAGTGATTTACTCCACTGAAGCAAATATGCAGTTGTAAAGATGTTGCAGCACACAATGGACTCTGGACAAGACGATGGTACTGCTGTTTTAATCAACATCCAGATCACTTTAAATTGCTACTACCTATCTTGCTGGCAGGTGTTTTGAAAGACGCCGCATACAATATTCTTTGGAGGGCATATGGACATGCTTTTCATGGAACTCTTAGCTGCTCTCCAAGGATTAAATACAAATTAAAGCTTTTGATCTGCTTGTGGACCAGTTGATTTGCTTTTAAAAAACAAAACAAAAACAAAACTCTGCTCATACTTGTTCCAAGTTTGAGAAGTTATTTCATGTTATCCCAGAAGAGTAACAGAAAAGAGGCAGATTCAACAATCTAATCATGGGAATCTGAGGAGCATTATGGTTTACAACACGGAAGCAAATGGCACTAAGCTTCCATAAAGTAAACCTTAATTGAACTTACTTCTTATCCATGATAGTGATTAACTAGAGATGCTTAGAAACTTCTCAAACAGTTAAAAGAACATGAAAAGGGAACAGCAGAGCTTGTGAGTTTGCCATTCAAATATTTTGTGCTGCAGCTATGTCGCCCCCCTCCCCCAGGCTGTAGCAGTGGTACTTCCCTGTCTTTATATACTGATATCTGGAGAAAGAGCAGGTCCAGATCTCACTTTACAAAAGGTTTGCTCTCCATATATATATTGGTATGAACAAACCACTTTTTCACATTGGTGGCAAAGAAGTCTTGCAGGTAAGCATGGCGGCTGGGCACACAGACTCCATCAATAATAAGAATGAAAGACTAGTCACACTTTTCCTTGATTTTCCCTCCTCCCCTCTGCATACCCTCATACACAAGGGAAAAAGAAAGGAATAGCATATGAATATCCTTATTGCCCCTCAGATAGATGAATTTCAGAGAGTAAAATAAAATAGTTTCATCTTGGACTGTCATCTTTGCAAGAAGAGGGGTGACAAAAAAGCTGTAGACAATATCTTTAAAAAAATAATCTACCAGTTCCTGGTTAAAGATCAGGAACAGGATCTATGTTCATTATTTTTTGTATCTTCCTGAACTAACATGTATGTTTTGCTTAACATTAACATTGAACAACTTGCAAGAGGGTATTTAACAATATTTTTAAAATATTATCAAATAATAATAATGTTGGAAGGGGACAAGACTTATACTAACTTTGCAGCATTAATGAGATGCGTTGTCCCTGGGTCCCATCCTTGAACAGGAATTTCTATCACCATGAGATAGTCTCTTATCAGTTTTTCTTTCTCTCTTTCTTCAGCGTCAGTTAAAAAATGCACTTTCAAGTCTTCAAATCTTCCTCTTTCACAACTGACTAAAGGAACTGCCTTGATTTCTACAGAAAGAAATAAGAAAAAGGGAATGAATCAAATAGGGTAGAGAAGAGCACAATGCAGCAGAAGTCACTCACAGATCAAGTTTGGCAATCTTCATCCAAACAACCAATGATGTAAACAAAAGTCAAGTAATGGCAGTAGTCAGGTATAAGCAAATGATGAAAAATACTGGGAATTCTAAACCAGGCAAATAACCTGTCTAAAGTGACTGTAACAATTCAAAATAGGTTTGGGGCTGTCAGCTTGGAAGGCAGAGGGAACAGGAAAATGGAAGAACAATATAGTCTGGTATTCAAATGCATACCTGGCCCACTATCCTTCAGAATGACCAAAGGAGTGAAGTGCATACTGTCGTAAGCAAGAATGATAGGATATCGATAACAGTCGTCTGCTGACCAATGGAGAGGCAGATAAATTCCACCAACGTTCAGAGGGGAAAAGCTGGAACCTGACTGCAAACTTCTGAGCATTTTATCTATAAGAAAAGATAAACAGGTTGAGTTAATATTAGGCTCCTCTATATTAATTTCTAAAGATTCATCAGTACATAAACAACTCAGTGTGACAATAACTTAATACCAGTTGATTTCGGGAGAATGAAGGCTGGAAAGTGAGTAAAGTAATATTGTATATGGTTGGGTAGGTGGGGGATTTGGTGCATTTTTTTTATGCCTAGTTTAGAACAGATATATAGTAATTCTAATGTTTTCCTTAGGAAGCCATGCTGGGTTTTTTTTAACCATCAAAGGGGATTCCAAAAGTTGGGGAAAAGAAGCCTGGGAGCCACCTCTGGCAACCCTGCTCTAAAACCTTGATTGCACATTGTAGTAATGAATGAATATGGGACAGAGGGAAGAATTGCTGTTGATCCCTTAATGAATGAATATTGGGAAAGAGGGAAGGTTTGGGGTCAAATTATGAAATACCACTTGTCCTTCTTAGGCAATTATTATGTGGAGGGATGATAACACATATACACAAGTATGAGCACATAAAATGGGGTCTTAGAAGTATTGCTATTATGTCCATCAATTCTTACCTGCAACAACTATGATGGGGCGCCTTAAGATGTTAGCAAGGACAAATATATGGATTTCTTCCAGACAGGTATACTGAAGGCCTGTGTGGGCAACTGATGTTTCTGCAGATGCCATTTTAATAAGATTGTCCCATTCATCATCCCAGTTCTAATGTAGAAAAATAAGATGCATCAGGAATCATCATGCAACACTGAAGCCTTCGCACATCAGAAATACAGTTAAATACAGTTTTCTTCTGCTACAAATCAAATCATTTTATAGCATAGTCATGTTGAAAGATTGAAGTATTGATAAATTCATTATTGAGGGGGGAAAATCATTCTTTATTTATAATCAGAACTAATCAAGTGGTTATTTTTAATCTCATTCCCAATCATTTTTCTGGAAATTAGTTCTAAACATGAGTCTGAACATTGGTATTATTATTGTTGTTGTTGTTATTATTATTATTATTCATATTTCTATGCTGCCCACTCTCCAAGGACTCTGGGCGGCTTACACCAAAGACAGTATACTAAGTAGCATATTGCCCCCAACAATCTGGGTCCTCATTTTACCCACCTCGGAAGGATGGAAGGCGGAGTCAACCTTGAGCTGGTGAGATTTGATCCGCTGATCTGCTGAACTAGCAGTCAGCTGAAGTAGCTGCAGTACTGCACTCTAACCACTGCGCCACCTCGGCTCTTTATTGTTTTTAAATAGCGTTCCTACATACTACGTTATTTTATATTCTATTCATGTCCCAAAAGGATGAATGAGTCTAATCTACCCCTATAGCTATCTTATGGACCAGCATGACATGATGGTGAAGAAATGTGTCATGCATCATAATGGTACCAGCTCACAACAATCTGGGCAAGAGGTGAGCAGAGACATGATATTCTGCTGTTGCTTGGATCAAGGTATTTCAGCGATCAAGAAAGGGCCCTAATTAGCAAAATGATTTTTTTTAAAAAATCTGGGACTACTCCTTTCAGAGCCCATCACAGACAGAAATAGTACTTGGCACTTCTACATTAATTTCCAGTGAAACAAATAATCAGACTAGTGACTATTTATAAGGATGCCAATTCAGGACTGAACATCATTCTGTCTGCTAGGGGAGAATGGGACAGCTCATCTAAGCTACTGCTTCTAGTTAGGCAAACTGGTGATAAAGGAGGGAAAATGGCTAGATATTCTTAGGAAGATTTGCATGGATAACCATCAGCAATCTGCACAGGGAAGCTGAAAACAGGATTAAATATTCAGCTGGCACAGACTCTGTAATGGAAGAGGTATGACCATACTGCATATTCCCAAAAGGCAGGAATTAAAAAAAAAAAACATAATTGTTTTCGTTTTTCATTTTTACTACTGCAGTAATGGTGTATTTCTCCATAATAGGAAAAACAGACAAACGCCAACTTTGTAAGATGTGGGTGGTCCATGGAAATAACCCAAATTGGGGGAGGTTACTTAGTCTGGAAACTCCACAATAGTGAAACTCTTTGGTAATGAATTGAGCAATCCAGTAAAGTTATAGGATTAAAATGTTTTAACTGGTAGTTGGCTCCGCAATTTTACTTTCTTAATTGTGTCCCATCATGTGTAATTACCACAAGGAATCACAACCTGAGGATATCAAAATTTGAAACATTCTTCCCTTACATAAACTGAATTACCTTACCCTGGTATCATAGCAAAGTCCTGTTGCCACAAATTCCTGTGATTTAAGTGTTTCTCTCTGCCAGCGCAGTTTAAAATTGCATGTATCAGCTTCTTTAAGTACACTAAACAATGTTTTTCTCAGAAGCAGGTCAACGTCTTGGACACCCCACATATACTGGGAAGCAGCGTGCATGAGACAATTTCCATCTCCTATAGGAAAATAAACGATTAAGATATTCAAATATACATTACAAAATATAAGAAAATCATATCAATATATGTAATGACAATATTGAACAAGGGACTCTAATGGGATGCTGTAGCGTGCAGCAAACTGTAACAGATTTGTTGCTTTTTCTTTTGATGTACACAGAATCCTGGTTGATAAGCACACATGGTGGGACAGGCAGGAAGTTATAATGCAGCTATTAATCTGAATTATCAGGAAAAAGTGAATTTAGATGCTGATGCAAGCATTAGCTTTCCAAGTATTTTAAAATATTACATCTCTTTGTTTCATACGCCTTTATCAAGATTTGAAAATTAATTTTTGGGTACTTTTTAATGCCTGCTTGCTTATTTTGCTACTGTATACAACTATGCTGTAAAAAAATCCTAGGTGTCATTTTGTATTTCTTCATATTATAGATTAGGTAATAAGAGGAAGGTTTATAAAACCATTTTTAAAGTACTATGTTCAGTAGTAAATAAACTAATATCTCAGCTTTTTCAAGAACCTAATCCGGTTTTCCCCCCCCTTCCCTGCTTGTTCAATTTAGGACAATTCACGGAAGGCATTTTCAGTGGTGTAGTAAGCTTTTTTCAGTAAGTATATAAAAGGGTTTAAATACAAGAGTAGAAAAAAAAATAATGAATGATATGAAATGCTGATTTACAGGCTTCTGGCTCTGCAAAGCAGAAAAATATGGCATAGAGGTAGGACAATTATTATTACATCCTTTAAAAAAATTCCCTGTGCAAAATCTAGAGCAAAGATAAGAAGTTTTTTCCCTGTATATGCTTGTTTTCAGTTCTTTATTGAGAACTAGCAGTCCAAAATTCCCTAAGCAACATTTGGAATTCCCCAGTGTTAAGTTATTTGACTAGCAATTGAGTAACAGCTATTGTACTTCTTGTTCTGATGTACAGACATTTGAACTGTGAAGTACACACTGGACTTTCCAAGTGGGTGTGGTTAGGTTATGCTGGAATGCCTATTCATTAGAGAAGCGAAATTACTAGTTAGTAGATCTTGGAATCTTTTAAAATGACATGCTTTCCTTCAGTCATTGTCTTTTAGATTAACAAACCTGTGTGAGGTATTTGTAGCAACATCCCCATTTCTACGACTGCATTTAATATTTGCACTCCATTTATTAAAACTAACTTTACTACAACTGTAGGAGCATTTATTTTCTTGTTCTCAAAATGAATAATACAATTTCCATGCAATAAAAATCCATATAGTTCTGTAAGAATGACAACTTATAGTTATACTGAAGGTGCAAAAACTTCTTTTACAAATCTTGTCATTATCTCCACAGGGAAGATAATGCCCTTATAGACTCTTTCGTATGCTTGGAGTCCTCAGATATCTTCTGATTCCCCTATCACCTGCATTCTCAATATTCCCCATTCCAGATACACTGAAATATGCCCAATATGTTTTGCTTCTGATGTGTAGCATCATTTACTGCCAATGGTCAGAAAAATGCCCATGATAGGCATCCCAAGGTTAATGCTCTCCAAATATGGACTACAAGTTCCACTTCTCCAATCAAGGGGGGCAGTTTTGTCTAATAGACCACCAGAAGGCATTAGGTGAGAAGGAGGCCTTGGAGAGTCAACTGAAAGCATAGGACAACTGAAAGCATAAGAACAGCTGTAGGGCAGCAGTATCCATGGAAGAGGGAGTTAGGCCAAAGCAGGCAAGATAGCAGACATAATGTCACACTCCAAACTCCGCCCTTTTTATGTGTGTCAATGTTGCATATGCATTCAACAGGACAGTACCATGGCCTCCATTAGCTGTTTTGACACCACGCCTACACTCTTCAGAGACTGCCATGCATTAACTCCTTGAATAAAACTTTCAATGCAGAAACCTGGAGGAATGTAGATAAGTGACAGAAAGATTTCTATATTGGAATACGGTAGCCAATGAAAAGAGAGTTGCCTTCGTCTGAGATGAATCTGCCAGTTCTAGCACTCTACCTAAAAATGAACCTTTTTAAATTTCTTTTTCTAAATTCATCACAACACACAGTATTAACAACAAGTGACCCAATTCATTTTATAAAACTTCACAGTCCCATCAAGGGCCCTGATTCTCTGAGTAAGACTATACTGTAGAGCTGGATAAGTCAACAACAGCAAGATAATTTTGGGATAAAAATTGGGAATTTGGGACAAAAATGGTGATTATAGACATTTTAGGAAATGCAAACATGAAGCTAGGTGAGCAAAATACAAATACTCTTTTCATGTATTTATTTGTGCATATATCTTTCAAATACTGTCTAGTTCAAACCACTTCCTATGTAATGTTTCAGCCACTTAATTGGACATAAAGCTAAAGTTTAGAGAGATTATACTGGAAACACTGAAACTGAGAAAGATACGAGAACACCAATGAAGCTTTCTGACAAAGCATTGATCTGAAATTTGTATTAACTTCATAGAAGGCATTGTCTAATATTTTTGCCCACAGATAAATTCGTTTCAATTAATCCACCTCCTTGTTAAATCTGAACAGCTCTGGGTGGCACCATGAACAATAATGGAAGAAACGATTGTAAATTAGCATTCAAATGCCTTTTGCCTATATTTGGCATGATTGTGGGGAAACTCAGGGTACCTGTTGCTCTAACAAACCTATGATTTTGAACATAATATTGGATTTCTAAGAAATTAATATAACTTATTCTTAGGAGCCCATTTTATATTAGACATGCATTTTAATTTTGAAAAGGAGAAAACGGCTCATTTGTGTATGTTTTAAACGTACTTTCCTTTAAACAGGGCTCATTCAAGGTCCATTGTTGGAATGATTATAGTAAATGGTATCAGTTAGCCACTACTGACTCACCTGGTACCCTTCTGATGCATTACATCAACCATATGAGAATATCGACATTTGGGAAGGAACTAACATTTGGGATGGAACAGAATTGAAAATACTACATGTTACTTTTACACTGCCAGAACAATCTCAATTTACAGTTATACCATGAACCTGACTTACCATTAGTCTTCAGCGGCATAAGTTTTTTAACTTCTCGACACCAGTTTAACTTCTTTTGGCGTTCCAGTGAGTTTTGGGTTGCTTGGTCAATTAGAGATTTTTGAAGAAGCTTCTGAAAAGGCGGGCAAAAATGACACATCCTGAAGATCTCTATGGTGTATCTATGCATAGTTTTAAAATGCTGGATAATTCCATTGTTGTATTTGACAAGGTCTTCAGACATCAATTCTCTTATCTTCACAGCTTTCAGCATGTTGCTCAAATATAAAGCTTGAGGAATGATCTGTGATCCAGCCATTCTGTACGAAGAAACCTACAAGAGAACAACACTAGTTATTCATGGCTTGCTTTACCTCACAAAATGTGTCCTAAATGCCCTGTCTAATGCAAGCATGTAACAAGCAGTACTGTAGGTCACTTTTAAATATTTGCATCTTCATGTGGTTTATCATGAATTTTAATCAAACACTTACTTTCTGTGGGAAAAGAAATCTGTACCTAAGGGATATCCTTAGATGATGTCAATTCTAGAGATACTACGGTTGAGTGTACCTAACACAGCAGAACCGAAGAGCCATAATTATTCAGCTGTAAATCTTTCTGATGACAATGAATTTCCTTTTAGTTTAGAATCCCCCCATATATTTTTTTCCATTCCACATTCTCCCTCACATGGTCTGGTGACTTTGGGGATTTTTTTTTTTTTAGTAGCACATGGCATAGCTTGAATTGCCCATCTTTAATTATATACTGCAATCTGAAACACTAGACATCATTATTAGGATGGCATGGGTAATACTGTCCACTATTTGAATAACCAGAACAACTTTAAAGAATACAGGTAGTCCTCGACCTACAACAGTTCGTTTAGTGACCATTTGAAATTACAACGGCACTGAAAAAAAGTGACATGACCATTTATCACACTTATGACCCTGGCAGAATCCCTATGTGATTTACATTTGGATGCTTGCCAACTGGTTCATATTTATGATGGTTGTAGTGTCTCGGGGTCACGTGATCACTTTTTGCGGCCTTCTGACAAGCACAGTCAATGGGGAAGCCAGATTCACTTAACAACCGTGTTACTAATTTAACAACTTCAGTGATTCACTTAACAAATGTGACAAGAAAATGGGGCAAAACTCACTTAGCAAATTTCTCACTTAGCAACATATGTTGGGCTCAATTGTGGTCATACATTCAGGATTACCTGTATTTAAGGTCACCATCTTAAAAGAAAGACTACTTTTCCACGGATTATTAAAAACGGATATTTCATTGAAATACAGAGGTTTCTCATTTGTTCAGCAACACTTAGACTGGAAACATTTGTCCATAAAAGGAAGTATTTATAATAGATTTTTCTCTAGGATTTTCCACCTTAGTTACAAGATTGAATTGCAATTTTAATGCTGTACATGAAGTTTAAAAACTCAGTGACCTACACTTCAGGTATTTAAAGATTCCCAGAATCTTCTGGTAAAAAATGTGGGTTTAGTTAGCTCTCATCATAACAAAATCAAATCAAAAACAGACATTCTAAGCAGCAGTGAAGTGGCCATTATTTGTCCTAAAGCAAATAAGCATCAAAAGATTACTAATCCTGAATGATATAAAAGGAATAATTTGTGTTAAATATGTGTATGTCTTACAAAAGAAAATATTTTATAAGGGAAACTGTTTACAGCTGTCTTGTAAACAATATCTCTATAGGAATTGAAAACAAAGCAGTTATTGGATCAACAGAAAACTTGAGATATATAAAAAAGTTTTAATGATACCAGGTTATGATTTTATATAGAAAGCACTGCAGCTAAGCACTCAAGATGAAAACCAGATATATTTTCATTAGAGTAGACCCACAGAATCCAATTCTATTGATTTCATTTACCAAAATAAGACAAAATCTGGATTTCATTCTTAATTACACTAGAATGATAATTAAATACGTTTTTATAAAATCTATTTAAAGCATTGATGGAAATAAATGCTTAATTATGCAGAAATCGCACAATGTAATTGTGTTTTAATATTTATTTTATATGAACTATTAATAGGACAAAGTCTAAAATGTGCGAAGACAAAAAGACATCACTGTTCAGTAGAATATGTAGTAGTGATTTTCCTCCTTCTTAACAAGATCATTTTTTCCAGAATTGCATGCATATTAAGACATCTAGAATTATAAGAATTATAGTGCCTAAGACAAATATGTTTTCAATTCTAAAGTTAACAAGGGCATATAGACAGTTCCCATCTGACAGCTCTCACAAGTACATAATAGTGGAAGATGGTTTTGAGTCAATGGGAAAGTTGGTATGAATAACAATGATTACCTAAATAAGAAAAGTATGCTTAGGCCTTTAACTGGTTCTTTCCAATATTACATAATAATAAACTATCCAATTAGTTAAGTTCAATTGTGAAGCTAATTCACATTCCTGAACTGTTATCAGCAGTTCCCTTTAATGCAATCTTTGTTATGTGATTAAGTACACTGTACATCTTGAGTTTTCCAACCATCCTACTTATATTTAATCCTAGTAATTTCAATACGTTTTATTGATTTAGCAATATAAACGTATCTGCAGTTTCACCCTAACAAAGGTTTTATCCTGGATGATGCCTGCTTTTGTTTTTCTTTCTCTTGACTGCAGAAATCTCACCAACTATTAAAAAAACAACAAAAAACCATTGCCTCCATATGTCGATGGAGATTCTCAGTCATCCAGGACATGGTTGTTCAAAGGTGCTTTTTCCTCCCAAAAAAAAGCATCCTTCCATCCTTCCCACCATCCAGCCAGACCTGATGAAGTATCTTGGATGAGAACCGATATCTTATTCTTCCACAAAGGAAAAAAAACACAGTTCAATTGCCTTTTGGAAAAAAAAAAGCACCTTTGAGACAACCATGATCTGGATGACTGAGAATCTCCATTGACATAATTTTAAATATGTCATTTTATGTGGTGAAAAAAATAAAACTACCTTTTAAAAAATAATTGCTATCAAACTTTTAATACTTAGCAAAGTGAAAAATAGAAGCATATTATTTCTGACAATCTGGAATCCACCAAATGTGTCAGACTAAAATTCTCATCATACCTTGTCAAGATGGAACAGCATCTTGGTGGATGGATATGGTGTGAAATCTACAGTCAATCTAAAGCCAAACCAGGAAAGTACACAACTGGGAAAGGCTAGATTAAGGGATTTCAACTTCTTGACTGACCATTACAGGTAGGCTTAAAAATAGAAGAGTGATATAAATATCTATCTTGATATTCATATTAAGCTATTATACTCATTAACCACTGAGCTTGTCAGCTGGAAAGCTGACAGCCTGTGTCTGAGACCCAAACGCTGCACAACGGGTTGAATTCCCATTACTTGTCCCATCTCCAATCAGCAGTTTGAAAGCATTTAAATGCGAGTAGATAAATAGGTATTATTTTGGTGGAAAGGTAACAGTGTTCTGTGTGCCTCAGTGTATAGTCATGCTAGCGACATGACCACAGAAGTGCCTTCGGACAATGCTGGCTCCCTCGGAGGTGAGCAATTTCCCTTAGAGTCAGAATCAGTTGGACAGGGGTAACATTTATCTTTACCTTTAAATAGCACAAGAGAATTCTAGCTTCTAATATCTAGTAATTGTAGCTATGCATAAAGGAAAATTATAGTAAATTGGACCATTTGTCCAACACTGGCAGCAGCTTAATCTGGATGAAAATAAAAACTGGAATCAAATCAGAGCACATCATGAACCTCTTCATGTCCACTAAGAAATTAGTTCCAAAACACTCAATGAATTTTATTTTAAAAGGAAGTGATTGATCAAGGTATGATGTAAAAATAGACTGATGAAACTAAACAGAACTGACTATGATTTGGTCACATTACTTGGCACTTAAATATAAGCTTCTAGGTTTCTAGTACTTTTACCAAAGTCTTAAGGCCACAATTTTGGCTTTCTGAACTCCTACGAGTCAATTCTATTCCACATTTTGGGAAATATTCTCACACCTCAACCTGTTGAGAGTTTCCTGATTATTGCTGGTAAAAAACTGAATGAGTAAATAAATAAAGCACATTTATTGGACTGTCTCAATTGCCTACAGTTAAAGTTCTCACTACAAATTCTTGATTCTACTGTCTATGTTATCAGTTGCCATCCCTAAGCATCTGTATGAGGCTCGCCTTTTAAACAGAAAATATTTGATTATCTTTCCCTGACATATACATATCTACTATTTTCTGTGAAGTTATTGAGACTTATTTCCAGGTAAAAGGTTTAGAATTGCAGTCTGTAGTAAAGCAGCACCAAAAAAATGTTTGTACCTAAATAATAAGTTTCTCTATAATTTTCTTCCTGGCCAACTTTTAGGTTTGTTTCTAAGATGTAATTCCTGTCTCTCATATATGGGAAATAAATTAGAAACTATCCATTGCTAAAATGGACAGTTGTGACCACCAAACATTACCTGCCAAGATAAGGTACTCTTAGGAATTGGGATGTTAGGGCTAACCATATCTGATTGCAAATATTTGAGCAAATTACATTTCTGTATCTCTTTGCTACTGTTTACTGGTTACCTGGAATTTTTGTAGTTCAGTTTTAATAGTCCTAGATGATATTTTAATCTTTGAAATTTCCAGGTAGGGGTGGGCAAGATCCCTGTCAAAAGTACATATTTAACTAATTACTTAACTAACTATAAGGAAATTACCTATGTTCCATAGATCATAATTCTGTTATTTGATCTGACAATAATAAAGATAACCCAGCTATTTCCCTAAAAAGTTTTTTTCCAAATCTAATTATGGTAAATATTATGGACTACATCAAACCCAGACATGCAACTAAAACTGTTTTAGTTCTGTGAGTTGTATTGGCCTGTATATCCATAGTTTGAAGACTTATTCATAAAACTTCTACAGTCTCATTAGCAGTTATTAGGCAGAATGCATAAGCAACCTTAAGCAGCTAAATTGGCATGAGGCAATTTTTAATATTTATTATTGTATAACTATTATTCAGGGAAAAGAAAAAAAATCTTTGTGTCAATGTAACTTGACCAACTTTGCATAAAATGAGTATTATATTGGCTGCTCTGTCTCGGGCAGCAAATTATCCTAAATAAATAATTATATAAAGAGCTAACAATCACTGTTAAGGGATCTGAATTTCAGCTACAACCTTTTGAAAGGTTTTATGGAAAAACTAACAGAATTCCTTCACTTCAATGGGACTTCCTTTCCTATAAGTAGGATTATATGTTATTTTTTTTATTTTATTTTTTTGCAACAGTGGCACATTTATCCATTTTTGTAATATAATATAGTATAATTATAGTATAGTTATATACTATTATACTATTAAACATAATAGTATAATTATCATTAAAAAGATATACCTGCATATTGTTACATCTTGTGATATTACACCTTGTAATATCCAAATATAATATGCATTCTTTAAAAAATGCATCCTATTAAAAAATAGAGAATACTTGTTTCATAACCATTTGTAGGAGCTGTCATACTCTTATGTAACTTTATAGAACAAACTAGTATAACTTGTACATTTGTAGTTCTTGCTGCAAAAGTTTATTTGTACCAGAGTTCAACCCCACGTTATCTTCAGTACTAAATCCAACTTCTATTATCTATAAACTAATGAAAGTTTCTCTCAGCCTAAGCCAAAGAGCGATCCACTTTGAATATGACATTGCTTTATGGATATGTTTCCATTAAGTCAAAATTGGAAGAACTGGTGTGATAACACTTACAGATATTTTTAAATGGGGAGGAGAGTGCATCAACTATATTTATATTTTTCTATAATATAAATACATCTGAGTTTCCCCACTTGACTAAGCACCTGTCTTCAGCAAGCCTGGTCTAGCTTTCTTTATAGTTCAGTTCCCTAACTGTGCAATTATTACATTAGGCTGAATTTTTATTTCTTGGAAGAAAATTGCCTTGAATTCACTGGGAATTGTGTTCTGAGCAGTTTATTTATTTATTTGAAAAACGTATTAGCCGCCCATCCAACAAGGCAACTCTGCACAACTAATACCATTCAGAGACCTCCAAGAGCTGAATGAAATAAGGTCCAACAACACACCCTGCAACTCTGATGTACACAAAAGATAAGGAAATCCTTTGATCATCTTCATAAGCTTTTTCCAAAATCCAAACACTTCTGCATTAAATCATAAAGAATGGAGGGAAACAGGCTTCTTCGTTTCTACTTAAGGACTGCCCCATAATGCTAAATTTCATTGATTCCAAAGCGACCTCTTCTCTCCACCTCCCCCAATTGGTAGAAAAGCATCTCCCAACACCAGACAAGCCAACTCCATTTACGCACTATTGTGCAGCCTCCAGGCTGGAGCCAACCATCCCCCCTATTCCTCTCCGACCATCTGCCCGAAGCAGCTTCGCAGAATCAGAACCGGACACAGAACTTACCCGGATCGTTCGGAAGAAAGACCCCGCAATCTCAATATAAACGAGTCAGGCGTTGGGCGATGCAATTTGGGGAGCCATGAATCCCAATCCCGTCCTTTGAGCGCTTTAGGATGATGGTTCCCTTGGCTCAACCACTCGGCTCCTCCTCTTGCTCTCTGCCACCGCGCTTGCCAAGAGTTGCAAAGAGATTCTGGGTCGGTTCGACCAGGACTATCTGTTTTTCCTTCTGTTGGTAAGGAGGGAAACGGCAAGTCTCTCCTCCGTCCCGTCCACCCCCCTCTCAAAGTTCCATAATGGGGATTTCCACATCGGCCGCCAAGGGATTTTCCGAGGTGACACCCCTGCCTGGGCAAGAACAACAGCTGCTTGAAAGAGCATCGGCTGGGCGCGATGCGGCTCGGGAGTCTCCAGGGGGCGCTGGAGACGCGAAAGACGCGGCGCATGAGCAGACCGGCACGTGATGTCCTGGATTGTCGTCATCCGCAGCCGGTCTGACCTGGTTAAAACCTTTTTTTTCTCTCCGGCTGGGTTTCTCCCAGATGAGTCACGGAGTGCCTTTGCCCCCCCCCCATTCTCTTTTATTTGAAAGGCGTGTTTAATTGATTTGTAAGGGAGGTGGGGGAGCCGTTTGCTTTCCCCCACCCCTCCTCACTTTATGTTTTAGTGACCCGGAACAGCATTCACACGAACCATATGCCGTAGGAAAATCCCAGAAGGCGTAGGTTGAGGACCTGAGATCTTTCCAGCAGCTGCATTGGTCTCAGAGAAGATGGGATATGTCGTTAAAGCAATAGAAATCGTGGGGTCACTGGAGGTTTTTAAGAAGAGACTAGTCAGCCACATATCTGAAATGGTATAGGTTCTCCTGCTTGAGCAGGGGGCTGGACTAGAAGACCTCCAAGGTCCCTTCCAAATTCTATTCTATTCTATTCTATTCTATTCTATTCTATTCTATTCCATTCCATTCCATTCCATTCCATTCCATTCCATTCCATTCCATTCTATTCTATCATTGTTTTACTATGTCTACTTCATTGGAACATGAAAAGGGAGATAGACGACAGAGAGGGGGAGATACCACTGTGGGTCCGCGATTCAAAAGCCTGCTGCGTGAATCTATTATTAAAGTGCAAAAAAAAAAAAAACAGTGGTTGCTTGATTTTAAGCTATATGCTTTCAATTAAAGTGGCATTTTTGTAAGTTTATGTCTTATTAGTTAGGTAATATACAACTCCACCTAATTATGTTTAGTAATTGTGGAAAAGGGCAAGTATGGACTACTTGGTGTCCTCTGAGGTTAATTCTTTGCTTGCAGATATTTTATTACTCAACTTCATAGCATCATTCATACACATCAGAAAGCACCAAAGATTCCACAGTTCAGTCCTGAATTATATATATTCACTTCAATTAGAAAGGTAAGTACTTAATTTTCCATTTAAAGTGGAAGAGACAATGCTACTCTGTTTCTGAACTCTAGCCTCATATGAGTGTGGGATGAACAGATGTTACTTAGCTTCCCACTGATTATCCTCAGAAATGACTAAAGATGATCTATCAGAGGCATAATCACACATGATCTGAAAGACATCAAGGGGTGGACTGGGTGACCTACTGTTTCTAAAAATGCTGCAAGTCATGAAGTGCTGAGAATATAAGTAAGGATTTCTGCTTATATTCAAAATACGATCGGAAAAATGTGACCTGCTTAGTCATGGAGTATTGATCTGATGGTAAAAGCAACACCTTTCGCATCTTGTATTCTGCATAACTATTAAACTTCCTTGAACTCTTATCACACAGCTTCTTGGCAGTAAAATATTTTACTGTATTCTGAGACTAATAGGATGCAGACTTACATGAAATCAATAGTCCACATATTATGAATTTACTGGATAAAAATGCCATATTCGGTATCCATACAGGTGCATTTTTTTTTATTTTGTGGTTTCATATGTTAATATAAATTAAATTCAGAAGGAAAAAGGTTGTATTAGAATATAAGCACTGTTCCCAAAGCAAATATTTGTGGGAGACCAGTTAAATGAATGTCCAGTGTCTCATCATTAACATTTAAACAGTGATAACACTTTTAAAATACTTTGTTACACACCTCTGTGCATTTTTGATGACAGACGATAAAGGAACAAAGAGAGCCAAACTGCCAGTAAGGAAATGGTTTAAGAACCTTCCACCCACTTCCATTTCCCTGCTTCCCCAAATTTTCAAAAGCAGCTAATAGCCAGCCTATCTTCACTTCTTCCTTCTGTTTTCACTTTTATTTGGAGGTCTGAAAGCACCATGATCTAATCGGTGCTCCAGCCCATTAATAGGAAAAAATAAAAATGTAATTCAATAACTTACCTGTCAGCTTTGTGAGGTAGTCCAGACAAGAAATACACCCAAGAGTGCTAGTTACAATATTTTTCTGTCTATAAAACGCCCCCATGTATAGGACACCCCCCAATTTTCTTATCCAAAATTAAGAAATTAATATTCTAAACATTAAATAGAAGACACTTATTTTGCAGAGTAAGATATTCGCTTACTGGTTGTTGTTGTTAGTTGCGAAGTTGTGTCCGACCTATTGTGACCCCATGGACAATGTTCCTTCAGACTTTCCTGTCCTCTACCATCCTCTGGAGTCCATTTAAGCTCACGCCTACTGCTTCAGTGACTCCATCCAGCCACCTCATTCTCTGCCGCCCCCTTCTTTTGCCCTCAATCTTTCCCAGCATTCTCCAGTGGGTCCCTCCTTCTCATTAGGTGGCCAAAATATTTGAGTTTCATCTTCAAGAACTGCCCTTCTAAAGAGCAGTCAGGGTTGATCTCCTCTAGGATTGACCAGTTTGATCGCCTTGCAGTCCAAGGGACTCGCAGGAGTCTTTTCCAGCACCATAGTTCAAAGGCCTCAATTCTTTGGCGCTCAGCCTTTCTTATGGTCCAACTTTCACAGCCATACATTGCAACTGAGAAAACCATAGCCTTGACTATATGCACTTTTGTTGTATATACTTACTGGTATATGCTTACTGGTACTTACTATACACTTACTGGTACCGGTATTTATTTGTTTGTTTTCTGACATTTTTATGGGCTCAGGACGCTCTGACATTACCGCTCCCTGACACATCTGGGCACTGGCTACGCACTCTCTGCAGCATCAGCTGATGTCAGTTACATAAGGCTCATGATTGGAGGAAACCTTTTAGCTTGTCTCTGCAATCAGCAATTTTGCTCATGAGGCTAAGATAAGATATTTGCAGAGATAAGGTATCAGCAGTTTCGCAACTTCGGTTCTCCTCTCAGCCCCCCATGTATAAGACGCCCCTCCATTTTTAGCTAAATGTTTTTAGAAAAAGTATCATCTTATACATGGAAAAATACGGTATATCTTTATTGTGAAGTTGCAATTGAATATTGCAAGTGTAAAAGTATCCCTACCATCTTCATTCTATTCTCCCCAAAACTAGGAAAGCTCCATTCTCAGGCACTTTTGCTACCCTCCTCCTTTGAACTTAGATTTTGTTACCATTGTCTAGGCTGTGGGTCTTCCTCCTGTCTTCCAAGGTCATTCCCACATACTACGGTATTACATTATCTGACTGGAATAGGAAAAATGCTTATCTCTACACTACAGATAAGCTCCTAAGGAAGGAGATGGAATAAATTGGAATTTTTCTTTCCTTCCTATTTTTAGTAAACAAGTTACATTGTCTTTATTTTTCTGACTTTGGTGAAGAATAATCTGAATAATTAATATAGGTGTTAAGCCATCAACACTTCATTGTACAGTATAAAATCCATTGTAAACCATGGTGGCAGATTAACAACATGTTGGCATCTTTTACAACCGGTGCTTTTTTTCCAGTTGCTGTAGCCAGAATGCAGTGGCCTGGGTTGGAAGAGAAGGGAAGATGAATACTCAAGGACTAGGAACTAAACTTTAGGGGTGAGGATGAAAAATTGATTCAAGAGATAGAATGAGACAAAACTTCTTGGGCACCAGGTAAAAAAAACCCATCCACAATTTCCATAAAGACCTATAGTATTGTTTAAAAGAAATCAGTTTTGATTTTGTTTCAGATAAACCAATACAGATCCAGGAAAAGGCTACCTCCGCTGTCCATGTCAATGGTTATGGTACAAATGTACAAGTCTAGAGCTGGCTTTAAGCACTACAAAGCCCTCTTGTGGAGGTGTCCATACTAAGCAGTAGAAGATAACAGTACCAAACCACACCAAGTTTCACTAACACTGAATTTGTAGAAGTGCCTAAAACAAGATAATCATAATTATTGCAAATTTGTGGATGCAAACTTAAATAAACATATTTTAAATTTTTAGTACAATGAAAATTAGAACAGAAAGTTCAACTTTTAAAGAGGCTTCTGCCGTTAAAAAGATCAACCTATAGTTTTAGGTGATTTTATTAGGCAATATAGAAAAAATGCAAAACGATGACTTTCAATGCCTTTGGGAAAAAATGGGGAAAAGATTTACTAGCTTACTTGGCTTATTTTTGAGGAATTAAATCTTCATGGCTTTCACTAATTTTCTTAGAAACAATCTTGATCAAAGGTTTTATAAACTGCTGAAAACCTTTTCCTAAGCAACCATTGATCTGAAATACATTGCTGCTGAGAAATTATAAATGAAATATTACTCTTAAGAAAGTGTATATATTACACAGTATTTAAAGTGACAGTAAAAGACACTTTCCCATTGAAAATAACAATTTTGTCCAGCAGTAGAACTTTCTGCAATAGAATAGAATAGAATAGAATAGAATAGAATAGAATAGAATAGAACAGAACAGAACAGAACAGAACAGAACAGAATAGAATTTTATTGGCCAAGTGTGATTGAACACACAAGGAATTTGTCTTGGTGCATATGCTCTCAGTCTACATAAAAGAAAATATACGTTCGTCAAGAGTCATAAGGTACAACACTTAATGATAGTCATAGGGTACAAATAAACAATCAAATCATATTGGGAAACAGTCACTATGACATAGTATCAGTTTACACAGCAATTTCATATGACGAACACAATTGTATACAAACTAAAATTGATGTAAAAGGGCCATACATGAAAAGTATAGTAACATCCATACTTTCCAAATCAGAAAGATTACATAGTTAACCATCTATCTTCTCTCCCTCCCTGTGTAAAGGCATTATACTGTGTTGGGTATTTATTTGGAAGTAATCCAATAGAGTCTACATCAGGGGTAGGTTCTACTTACCTTTACTACTGGTTCGCAACGAGGCTGTGCGCGATGTACCTTTACTTGCCCCCGGTTCACACTGGTACCTTTACTACCGGTGCGAACCGGGAGCAACCCACCTCTGGTCTACATCCTTGGAAAATACACTTTAG